GCAGCCCCTTGAAAATATGATTTTTTTTAATCCGTCTGTCTGTCTGTCTGTCTGTCTGTCTGTCTGTCTGTCTGTCTGTCTGTCTGTCTGTCTGCCTGCCTGCCTGCCTGCCTGCCTGCCTATTTTGATTCTTCGAGACAGAGTTTCTCTGTGTAACAGTCCTGGCTTTCCTGGAACTCAATTTGTAGACCAGGCTGGCCTCAAACTCACAATGATCTGCCTGCCTCTGCCTCCCAAGTGCTGGGATTAAAGGAGTGTGCCACCACCTCTGGACCACATGTGATTTTTATTATCCCCACTGTGGAATGGCAAATGACAAAATTGTGAAATAGCTCACAGGGAGGTAGTTCCTAGTATTTGGTCTCACTGTTATGGCAACTGGCCACTTAGCACTTTTCATTTTGTGTTAGCTAAGGGGATTCTGTGCCTGGCTAGTTAAGATGTATATAGACTGATTTGTGGTTAAAAGTGTGATTTTTTTTAAAACTTATTCTTTATTACTAGCATAATTTAAAATATTTCTATTTGAATATTACTATTTCTCATTTACTTATTTGTCTTTTTCGAGCATCTACTACATAGTTAGCATTGCTACAGTCAGTGGGGACATAGGCATGAATGTAATGAATAAGGTCCTTTCCTTCATGGAACTTAACATTCCAACGCTGAAGACAAGATAGAGACTAAGTTGCTGTGAAGAAAACAGATGCAGGTTAAGAGACAGACAGTGGGGTTGGAAAGATGGCTCAGTGGTTAAGAGCACTGACTGCTCTGCCAGAGGACCTGGGTTCAATTCCCAGCACCCACATGGAAGCTCATAACTGTATGTGACTTTAAGATCTGACACCCCAATGAGACATAAATGAAGGCAAAACACCAATGCACACACGAGTGAATGGAGATAGGCAGTGATGGGGTGGGGGTGTTCCTTTAGGCAGTGTCTCTGAGCAGTGGCTTTTGTAGGTTAGTAAGTGAACAACTTTTGAGGGCAATCTCAGGGTCTCGTGTTCCAGACACATGGAACAGTTGTATGGATTCAGCAGGTGGAAGCGACAGCAGAAACACAAGCTAAGACTGGGACACCACGAGCTGTCAGAGCCGGGGTGGAGTGGTGGGTAGGTCCCTGGGCTATACAATTAAGATGCACCTCTGCTGTAGGAAGTGGAGATGTGCCTTGTATTCAGCTGCCCTTTGGAATGATCTGTAACCCAAGAATGGCCCTACAGTAATCTTCAACAGGTCATTGCATTGTTAATAATAAATGGTTCGATTTATTTTTTAAAGTAGTCACTAAGGCTAAAACACCCCTTGTGGTCTCTTGCATTTTGTTAGTCATTTGAAGGAGGTGGAAACATGATCCCGTGAGCCCCCTACCGACAGAATGCAGCATTTCCTCTTTCGGTGCTGTGGAGATTAATGCCAATTAGTTAGGACCAATGATGAAGAATGGAAGAGCATTTCTCTTGGATTTAAAATACAGAGAATAGATGAGAAACTACACAGTAATCATTTTTCCACAGCATACTACAGTGCTTTATCTTTTTTGATATAGCTTTTAATTTTTTTCTTAGCATACAAAGTAACAGATTTCATTGTGACATTTTCTTATGTAAGTATTAATATGCCTGTTTCTTATTTACCCCTAACTACCCTCCAGCATCTTTCTTCTTACCCTCTTGATATTCTCTTCCTTCTCTCCAAATACTTCCCTTTCCTGATTTTAAGAATGTTTACTTTAAAAAATAAATTAGAAAATAATTTTGTGCGTGTGTGGCACACTTGTGGCATGGTGCACATGTGTTCGGCATCTGTTGGGGGAGAGATGGGGGTAGCGATCATTCTCTTCACTTCGTTGAGGTCAAGTTTCTCAACATTTCTGCCCATGCAGTGTATTCCAGGAAATTCTCCTATCTCTGCCTTCCATGCACACCACGGTATCTGACTTTTTGTTTATTTGTTCAAAGACATCATCAGGGTTTCATGGCAAGGCCTTTTACCCACTGAGCTGTCTTGCTATCCCCTCCTTTCATGATATATGTTATGAAGTCTTTTTAAATTTTATTTACATACTCTACCACAACAAGTGTTATTTTATATCTACTTGAAATATGCTATGGGCAAGTAAGTTAAATAAAGATGGAATTTTTATGACACAGTAAGAAATTCAGTGAAGGTGTAAACTTGTATGTGCATGTGTGCAGGTAGACATGTCCGTGTGTGCATGTGTGTGGATGCCAGAGCTGGAGGCCTCGTATCTTCGTCATTTGCTTTCTGCCTTGGTTTTTGAGGCAGGGTCTGTCACTGAACCTGGAGCTTATTGATTCTGCCCGATAGCCACGGAGCTCCAGGGATCCACCTGTCTTGTGCCCCTTCCTCCCCCAGGTCTTGTGTTACAGATGTGCACTGCTGTACTTAGCTCTACCTAGGCACTAGGAATCTGAAATCAGGTATCTGTGCGTGTGTAACATGTACCTTTAAGTCATGTCCTCAGCCCCTGCTCTAACCTTTTGTGTTTATTAAAGGGTGGCACATCTGTAACCCCAGCTCTCAAGAGACTAAGGCCAAAGAATCACAAGTTCAGGACCAGCCTAGGCTATGTATCAAGACTTTGTCTCAAAAAAGAAAGGGGGGAGGGGATTTAGATGAACAGAAACCAAAAATGACAAACAAAAAGGAGTTTTTATTTTTTTTTTTAAATACTTATTCTGAATAGTTGAAGAATGACGTACCAGTAAAATAGATAGCTTTGGATAATGAAGATATAAGCCAAAGGATTAGAATGTAAATTGGTGATCAGTTGTTTTCATGCTGAGGTTCAGGGAACATGAGAGCATGTGACAGTTTGGGATCGGCTCAAGTTTCCGCATCCCGGGTTCAAGCCTTGTTTTCTACATGAGACTTTCAGGAAAGTTTTGTTGGATAATGAAGTTCCTAGGGCATGTCCTAACAACTATAAGAAAATAACTTGATTTTTCTAGATCAATTTAGAAGGTACGTTCATAACTCTTTTTTGTTGTTGTTGTTGTTGCTGTGTGTGTGTGTGTGTGTGTGTGTGTGTGTGTGTGTGTGTGTGTGTATTATTGAATGAAATGTATTAGTTAAGATTCTAATTATTTGCCTCAAGAAAAAGAGAAATGAACCACAGGTCCTTTTCTTGCCAGGTTATTTTGTTTCTACTCATATTAACAGGGTGGTTTCTTTTCTTTTTTCTTTTTAATTTTTTGTTTTGAAACAGTGTTTCTTTAACATTGCAGTCTCTCTCTCTCTCTCTCTCTCTACACACACACACACACACACACACACACACACCTGTTTTTCGAGATAGGGTTTCCTTTTTGATTGCCCTGGAACTCACTTTGTAGAAAAGGCTGCCTAAAATTCACAGAGGTCCATCTGTCTCTGCCTCCCTAGTGCTGGGACTGAAGGTGTCTGTCACCGTGGCTGGCTCAGTTTTCTAACAGTCAGTCCTCTCATAATTTGTAAGAGCCATGCCACCTTAAGTAGTAGTAACCATACAGCAAACACAGTAACTGGACGTCTCCCAGTTTCACTGCCTAGACAGCAACACTTTGAACCAGCACATGAAGTGCTAACAGAGAGGTGACTAACATCCTGGAGCTCAGAAAGCTAGAATGTTCTGTTTGCCATTGTAGCCATGGTTTAGGGGTTTAAAGGATTTCAGTTTGGAAATTGAATCACTGATAGGCATAAATATGGCCAGGACCCAACCTTGGTTTTGGATGTAAGCAGTAACTTATAAGAGTTTTCTTCTCTGGAAATAGTGACCATCTTGAAAGGGGTCTGATGCCTGGTCATTTCTATCTGGAGTATGTCAGTCACTGCAGTCAAGTTCATAACATGTTGGGCTGATTGTTTTTAGTATTTGTGCCAGCTTACCAAAATAAAATCCGTAACCCATCAACATCTAATTTAATTAACTGTGGGATTTAGTTTTCCCAACTTTAAGCCATTTTAGTCAGCTCAACATTATTATTACTGTTGTATGTATATGTGAGTGTGTATGATGTCTGTACATAAATGCAGGCATGCTTATGCCAAGGCTTGTATGTAGAGGGTGGAAGACCTGTCTACCCTTATGTGAACCTGGAGATTTCATCAAGTTGCTAGGCATGGGTAGCACTTTTAACCACTGAGCTGGTGATATTTATTTATTGTCTGTACATGTGCATCCATGATGGACATTCATAAGGAGGCCAGAGAACAACTTGTGGAAGTTGGTTCTTCCCTTGTGTGGATCCTGGAAATAGAACTTGGGTTATCAGGCTTGGTGGTAAATGCCTATGCCAACAGAGCCACCTTGTGACCAGAGTTTTTAAAGAGATTTATCTATTTACTTATTACGTATATAGTTCTCCTCTTGCAGGCCATTAGAGAGCACCGATCCATTATAGATGGTTGTGAGCCAACATGTGGTTGCTGGGAATTGAACTCTGAAAGAATAGTCAGTGCTCTTAACTTCTGAGCCACCTTACCAGCCCCCTGATTTTTTTTTTTAAACTAGTTGCTTATTCATCTGGTAATTAACACCAACTGCTAAGTGTAATTTCATGTAGTGTCTGAGCTCTGAATCGCCCATTTCTCATTGGCATGGAAACAGGAGAGACTAGTATGCTAGTCTATGTACATGCTAGTACTTGCTAGTCCAGAGGTGTCCAGTTGCTTTGATTGCTTTAGAATTAGTCTGAGACCCTAGAATAGAACTAACTTGTCATTGGGAAAGTGTTTGGAGAGGTCATGATATGACTTGTTAACAGTTCTGTTGGAAGGTGCATTGGTTTTAAAGCATCAAGAGAGAGGCTCAATTTTCCTTAGGTTCTGGTCGCTGGGGGTGGAAGAGAGTGGCATATGTTGAAGACTTTGGGAAACAATGCTAATCTCATGATGACTTTGACCAACTGAAATAGGTACAACGTATTTTGTGTTTGATGAGCAATTCTTTGTGGCAACTGAGTGATTCCCTTTCCCCAACTCCTGTATAGGAAGCTGCCCTCTGCCGACAGCTCCCTATGGAAGAGACCATGGCCTCTGTCAACCCGCCCGCCATGAACACAGATATGAGGTCCATCAGCAATAATAGTTCAGATCCATTCCTCAATGGGTAAGTTCATACTGGGCCCATTGGCTTTTCCTTTCTGACCTATGGTTTGTTTAGGCTATAGTGGGGTGTTTGTTTATATGGAGAAAAGGCAGGGTTCTTGAGGCATGGGGAGAGTGGAGAGAGCTGACAGAAGCGAGAAAAAGGAAGCTTTAACAAAAAAAAAAAAAAAAATCTCAATTTCAAAACCTAGTCACATGACATGGAGTATGCCCCTCAGTGATTTGCACATGAGGATGAACTTTCAACAGGACAGTGCTATTTGGTCTTCGCTTGTAAGCATCTTGACATTCTTGGAAGTAAGGGTGGGGTTAAAAGCATGTCATAGCAAATAGAACAAGAAAAGTCAGAAGTATTTATGGTGAAAAATGAGTAAGGTTTAGAGTTTGGTTATTAGTGTTAATTTTCTGCTCTGGTGACGAAAACTGTTTCTACAAGTGAGCCAGGTGGAAGGTACGTAACAACTACTTTCTTTATGCATGATTGGTGTGAGTTTTAAGCTATTACATAATTAAAACCTAATTAAAACAGAGACATTGGTTTTAAAAGAGAGAAAAAGAAAAGTGGTTGCCTTAGCCAGAAGTCTCCGAAGAATAGAAAGTCAACCTTAATTGTAGACCCCATGGGGGTGGGCATTGTGTTTCTGCTCTTCCCAAGGCTCCTGGCTTGCAAATATAAAAGAAGAGGTGCCAAAATAATGAATGCCTAGATTAAAAGTGGTTTATTTTAAAGAATAGAAAAATATAAAGAAAACTGAGGTACCCACCATCCAGGCTTGCTATATTTCAAGCACTGTTTGAGCCCATCTCTACCACCACCAAGTTTCTTTTTTCCCTTCATTCTTTCCCCAGGCATAGCTACTCATCAGAAAGTGGTGGGTGGCCATCACGGTGAACTTTGCTATTTTTCTGGATCCCCTTTCCCCAGCCTCTTGACTGTTGGGATAGTAAGCATGGCCCACCATGACTGGCTACATCCATACTTCTTTTTACCATTAATGTGTATATCTATGAGCATTATTCAGCACTATTTTTCTGGTCTTAAAATTTTTTACATAAATAGTACCATAATCTGTATATAGAATAGGGTTCAGATGGTTATTTTGAGACAAGGAAATCAGTACCCATGTTTGGGGAGTGGCCAGTTTTATCTGCATATAATTCCTTAGTTCCTTAAGATCAGCTTATATGTTTGAAAATTAAAGGGCCCCGTAGAGTTTTCTCCCTTTCACTGGCTGAGTTCTGTGGCTGTGTTTTTCCTGTGACCTTTTATTTAGTGGACTCACGTTAAGGTCTTTGCTTTTTTTTTTTTTTTTTTTTTTTTCCTTTCTTTTTTCTCTGCAGAGGGCCTTATCATTCAAGGGAGCAGAGCACGGACAGTGGCCTGGGGTTAGGGTGCTACAGTGTCCCCACAACTCCAGAAGACTTCCTCAGCAACATGGACGAGATGGACACAGGTGGGCTCACAGCCTGAAACTATCTGTAGTGTGTTTTCATTTTCAAAGTGTCCTCTTGATTATTGCAATCCTAAAATACAATGGGAAACATAAACCCTGAACATAAAATGACAGCTAAAAGCCCACTCAATGCACAGGCACTACTACTTTTCAAAGTTTATGCAAATGTGGCTTCATATAGGTGTGGGATTTCAAGACCTACCCTCCCCCATCCTTTTTAGTATTGCCCTTTCATCATAATCATACTGTACTTACATGTAGTGGGATGACTGTGCTGTACCCCCTTTTATTTGTAATAATAGTTAACACTTTCTACTGGGATTTATACTATTTTTGGTTCTCTGAGCATGTTGATCTTGTCATGGTACTTTCTGGTTTGGAAGAATTAACAGTAGGGGTTTAACTAGCAATCCAGAGGAGTCTAATTGTCAGCTCCAATTTCTAACATAACACCCTCCTTCAGCAATTGACAAGAAGACAACCAAGGTGACTTTCCTGGTCCCAGCCTGTGCATCCTATAGAGTAGACATGTCCAAACTCTTGACTTTGGGGCATGGCATTGTCATCTTTTAAGTTCACATTCGAGAACTGTATGATTAAGCTATTAAAAAAAAATGCAGGGCTGGAGAGATGGCTCAGAAGCTACAGCACCAACTGCTCTTCCACAGAACCAGAGTTCAATTCCCAGCACCCACATAGCAGCATACAACTGCCTGTAACTCCAGTTTTAGCGGATTCAATACCCTTACCCAGGCATACATGCAGGGAAAACACCAACAGACATAAAATAAAAATAAGTAAATCTTTTTTAAAAATTGCAAAATAATATCAATGTGTTAAATAAGTTTACACTTCAGTTTTGGGAGACTATACTATACTATAACCTCCCTTCCTCTCTCTCTCCCTCCCTCCCTCCCTCCCTCCCTCCCTCCCTCCCTCTCTCTCTCTCTCTCTCTCCCTCCCTCCCTCTCTCCCTCCCTCCCTCCCTCCCTCCCTCCCTCCCTCCCTCCCTCCCTCCCTCTCTCTCTCCTTTCCTTTTACTTTTGAGACAGGGTTTCTCTATATAGCCCTGGCTGTCCTGGAACTTGTTGTGTAGACCAGACAGATCTTGAACTCAAAGACCCCCACCTACTCTGCCTCCAGAGTGTAGCAGTAATAGCAATTAAAAATGTGCATCACCATCCCCAGCTCAGTATGTGCTCTTTATAAATACCTTTGCAATTTCTCTTCTGTTATTCATGACAGAAAAGGGGTTGTAGGACTGGAGAGATGGTGCAGCACTTGATGCTCTTCCAGAGGACCTGTGTTCAATTCTCAGCATCTCCTTGTGGTTTTCAACCATCCATAACTCCAATTCCAGGGGATGCTACACCCTCTTCTGACCTTTCTAGGCACCAGACATGTAGGCAAAAACACTCATATATATGCATGCACAACTGTTGTATGCTGCTTGCTGTGAGTCTACATTGTTGCATCTGAATGCCAGACTCACAGACAGGTTTACAGTGCAGCACTGCAGAAGGTCAGGGGGTCAGGATGCTGAAGCAGCACCTCCAGGTCTGGCAGCTGACAGCAGTAGATTGAGGGCAGAGTAGGAGCTGTCTTGTGAGGCATCCCATAGCAGTGCTTTGCACTGTTTGTTGTTATGTTCAGTTTATTACTTCTCTTCTCTTCCTTCCCCACGCCTTTCATCTTTATACACACACACACACACACACACACACACACACACACACACACACACGCACGCACGTGTGCACACACACAGGTACACATTTGCACACACCCACACAAGCAAACGACTATGTGTGTGTGTCAGAGAGAGGCAGGATTTATTTTGCTTCCTTGAAATAGCCTCATGAGGTGGGTCCTTCCAATGCTGTTTTCTTTCATCTTTTAAACCCTGGGAATCCAGTAAGGGTAAAAAGCAAAATTAAATAAGGCGAGAGGGGTAGGTACCTCAGGAGATATTAAGAAGGTACATTCTCTCCTATAGGTTTCTAAAATAATGTCCAGTGGGTAAATGGTATCTAGACAAGAACACAGGCAAAATTCAGCCTGAGTTGAATCTTTATTTCTTATTCCCTGATAAAAAGTGTTCTCTATAGAAGCTCTGTGGCCTCAAGTTGAAATGAGGATAATGTCCCCACCTCTTCCCCTCCATTGAAGGAGGCCATTGATGAAATGGATTTGATAAACACTGTGCTTCCTATTAATCTGGTCAAGTGAGTGTCAACTCATTGAGTTCGGGGTCACCTCTGCGAGTTGTCTGTAAGAAATGGGCATAAACTGCTCAAGAAAATTATATAATACTTAGTAACACTTAGAAATTAGCTGAGGGCAGGCAGAACTCAATGGTAACTAGAAAGGATTGTTGGATCTGCCAGACACATTGGCCACTTGCCCAGGAGCAAGCTGGCTGAGAACTCTCTCCCTTTGCAACAAGCACCCCCAGCTGGACTTGTCAACTCATGCTTTCATTTTGGCTAAGAATAGGAAGAATTCTTTAAAAAGGGGGTTTTATTTGGCTAACATACATATTCTCAAGAATTAAAAGATTGTAATGAGATTTTGAACTTTTTAAATTTTTGTGCATGTGTGTGCCCGTGTGAGTTTATGTGTACCACATGTGTGCAGGTATCTGGAGGCCAGAGGGCATCGGAGTTTCTGAAGTTGGAATTACAGGTGTTTATGGGCCACTTCGTGGGTGCTGGGGATTGAACTTAGAACCTCTGAAAGAGCAGCCAGTGCTCTTAACCACCGAGCCATCTCTGCAGGACCTTTATTATAACTTTAGCAGATAGATGACACAGCCTTGGGTGTGGCAGACACTGTTACTTTATTTCCAGCCTGTGCAGAAAACCCTGTGATTTACCCCATTTCCAGGTGGTAAAATGAGAATGAGACAAGTTAGTTTGCCTAAGGTCATACAGTAAGAGGAACAGTCAAGTGACATCAGGTATCCATGTATTTCCTCCCATAATACTGTTTTATAAAGAACATATCTCAGTCAAATTCCAGATGCTTACCTTTCTAGTATTTTCCTCGACCATGTTCTGTAGAAGTCTAGTCTTACTGGGATAAACACTCTTCCAAAACAAAATGAGGTCATGAATGTGGTGTCCGTGAGTGTGAAAATGTGAGTTATGTTAGCTCTTCAACTATATGTCCCTTCTCAAGAACGTATAAGAAAAGGCTGGAGAGATGGCTCAGTGGTTAAGAGCACTGGCTGCTCTTCCAGAGAACATAGGCTCAATTCCCACTGCCTACATGATGACTCACAACTGCCTGTTTCTCCACTTCCATGGATACATTCACAGTCTCCCTCCCACCATAAGCATACCTGTTGCATAGACAAAACATGCAAGCAAAATACCCACATAAAATAAATTTAGCCGGGCGTAGTGGCACACTCCTTTAATCCTAGCACTCAGGAAGCAGAGGCAGACAGATCTCTGATTCAAGGCCAGCCTGGTTACATAGTGCGTTCCAGGACAGCCAAAGCTACAGAGCGAGACCCTGTCTCAAAAACAAGCAAACAACACCAACAACAACAATAAATAAAAGAATTTTAAATTTAAAAAAATTAAGAAGGAAGTAATTTGCCTTTCATTCTATTACAGGAGAGAATGCGGGTCAGACACCCATGGCAGTCAATCCCCAGCAGACCCGCTTCCCTGATTTCCTTGACTGCCTTCCAGGAACCAACGTTGACCTAGGGACTTTGGAGTCTGAAGACCTGATCCCTCTCTTCAATGATGTAGAGTCTGCTCTGAACAAAAGCGAGCCCTTCCTCACCTGGCTGTGATCACTGCCATTGTAAAATGATGCAGCTGTGACATTTCCTGGGCCCGTGGAACAAGGGACAGTGGGAAGCAGGTCTGCAGGTGCACCGCTCGCGGCCTCCGTACTCACACTACTTCTTGTCCACGTGACCAGCTGGTCATTGCCTGGCTTTGATTTATAAGAACATTAAGTTACACATAGATAAATATTCTCTTTCCATTTTCTGCAAGCCTGCATTTCTGTGACAGATAATGTAGAATTGATTATGCAGAATAACTTCTTAAAAGCCTCTGCTACCCTATGGCTGAGCTTTATAGAAATTAGCTGAAATTCATATATCAATTGATTCTAAACTATAAAAGCTGACCACAGGCAGTGAATTCTGACAGGCAGCTTGGTCCAGGAAATGTGCACAAATACATGATTTACAGTTTCAAAAACTTTACTGGTAACCGTAGTAACAGATGCTTTAAAACTTATTTAACTTTATATCTTTAAAAACCATTGTATAGATAGTAAATTTCTGCTGCGGAATGCAGTGCAGTTTGGAATCCATGGTGGCTCTGATGTCTATTCTCATTCTGTATTTACAAGGGCATGGAGTCCTAATGTTATCACTCCTCGTCATTTTACTGCAGAGCATCCAGCAGCTCAGTCCCACACACAGAAGGGTCACTGCAGCGTTTGTCACAGGTCTTGTATGACAGATCATGTGAAAGAGACCAGTTTGGTACTAATATGAACACTTACAAAACAAAGCTATTTTTCAATTGCAACTTGTATTTTGCAAAGTGCAGTTTGGAATTTGATGTCTGTTTTTATGAAACACTGTAATTTTGTGGCTTATGACAAAGGGCAGCCAAATGTTTTTGATCAATCATTGGAAACTATATATTTTAGTCTTTTGACCTGTTCTGAAACTATCAGGCCAACAGAGATCTCAGCTTGATGACATGCAAATTAGCTGTTGCGTTTTGTATTCTGAGACATTTTCACTTCTGCTTTTTGAGATTTCAAATGCTAAAAATAATTCTGTCTATAGAACTGCTTGAAGAATGAAGCAGATCTCTGACTATGAATATGAAAAGGCCCTGGCAGGGCATATCGTATAGATCTGTGCTTCTGAGTTGAGTAATATTGATTCTCAAGTATGTTATCCTAGTCCTTTTGCTAAGTTGGTACAAAAAGGCATAAGATATGTACTCAATACCTCTTATGTTACCAACTTTTTAAATTAGCTCTTAAGGACTGAGATCAGCATGTTCATTTAGCAGGCAGTCTACCTGCACTAGCAATGAAGTCCTTAGCTGTTTATTATTGTGAACTGACATTATTTATAATCTATGAATTTATTCTCTCTCTCTTTTTTTTTATTTTTTTATTTTTTACTTTTTTGAAAGATACAAAGAATCTGGGAGGAAAGTTTCAGTTTCCATGAGGGTGAGGGCTTTTCTGGTTGAGCATCTTTAATGAGATCCCTTTTGGTCCATCGGAATATAAATGCACAAAGTACATTTGGTCTTGGTGGGAAGAGGCAAGTGAAAAGTCAGAGGTGAAGCTGTGGGATATGGTGTAAAGGCTAGTTGGTGGGAAATGAACCAGACATGTCAGAACCCCTCCAAAGCGAGGCAAGCAAGATGGGTGAGAAGTGCCCCAAAGAACAAAGCAAACATTTTCTCTCACAGCCTTTATACCAAAAGACCCTGCTGCCGGAGAGAAGAGGTTTGGGGCGCACTTTACTGGGGAGGGGCAGAGAGGAGGAAGGGAGAGGGCTGAGACACTCTGGCGCTCTGTCTATGTACTTGTTGAAAATGTCAGCCGACAAGAGCGTGGGCCACTGTTGCTTCCAGCACTCTTAAGTGATTTCTCTTTTCCTGAAAGAACCCAATTAATGTCCAGTTAATTCCATGCTCTCTCTGAGCACCCAGAGACGAGTAGGGATTTATGTTGCTACTAGGTTGAAAGGGAGCACTCTTTCGTTTTCTCGTTTGTCAGCAAAAATTGCAAAAAAAGAAAAGAGTTGTACATTCATTCTTTCTGATGAAAAATCAAAAATAAACCAAACACAAGGGACCTAACAAAACTCAACAGTGTTACTGTATTTAAAAATATTTTTATACATGCATTTCAGGTTATTAAATGTAAAAAAAAGATACTCTTTTTTTTAAGTAGTTAAATCATTGATGATTTATTTTACCAAGTTTTAGAAGCCATTTTCTAATAAGCTTGTGGCATTATGAAATATTAGAATAAGTTTTTAGTAAATTAGTTTAAATCTTTTTAATGAATATTGTATTTTTCTAGAATAAAATATGGCCCCTGACTGTTTACTAATAGATGAAGCCAGATGTAATTTCTGTTGTTGTTTTTAAGACCATAAAATGTGGCTTTTGTTAAAGAGAGCTAAAGCTAGACATCAGAATCAGACCTGTTTTTTTCTAGTTCTGATTGAACCCAAGATGTCATGTGTGTTAGTTAGGCAAGTGCTTTGCCGCCGAGCTGCATACCCAGCCTTAGAGCAGTCTCTCAGTGGTTCCTTAGTATTACTGTAAGTATAATACTCTCTAAGGATTCATAATAAGGTGCTACTCATAATCTATCTCATGCTATAAGACAGCTGTCAAGACTATGTAGTCTTCTTAGTCCTAAATCAATAAATTTTGCCATATCACCTACAAATTTTGTCATAAAATAGGCAACTTTTTAAAAAAAATGTTTTCTTCTTTTTTCTTTTTCCCCGAGAAGATATACCTTATTAAAGCATTTAAATAGTGAAAACACCGTCATCTTGTTAACATTGGGTGATTTCTTAGGCAGTGTCTCACTGTAGTATCTAGGATGTAAGGCGTGTTTCTTTCATCGATTTCCCCAGTATGTGAGAGCATATAAAACAGAACAAGCTATATAGCCTTCTGGGCACTGCTCAGCAGGAGGGAATTTGCAGAAGGTGACTTGAAGCAATGGATGTGTCACTGAGTACTGTGTTCTTATGATGTAATGAGAAGCAACTTCTGAAAGGACACTTTTATGAGGAAAAAAAAGCCATTCCAAAAAAAGGAAACTATAGATCAATTTAATTGGGAAAATGGGTGATTGACAGAGACCATTTCCCTGAGTCTATTATACAAATGCTAATACTTTAACTTAATATTTTTTAACATCTACATTTTATCAAATGAGACCTGTGTTGTTGATTTCTAATCCAGTATGTTTTGCATACAGGATATATACAGTCAAATCCATCAAATCAAACCGTTTTATCTGGAGTTTGGTACAGGTTTTAATTCTCAATTCTGTATAAAAAATAAATATGATTGAACTTCCACTTTGGGCCTTTGTCTCTGTCGTGTGGTGTGATCATTTACTGGCTTTGGGTATAACTGGAGAGGCTTCTGTAATCCCTGGGAGACAGTGAGAAAGACAGGAAGACAGATTGTGTTGCATTTGATGTGCCCACTAAGACTTTTTGAAGGTGTGTTTTTAGAAAACAAATAAATAGGGGTGGTGGCAGCGGTGCATGACTTTTGTCCCGGTGCTGGGTGGGGAGGGGGAGGGGGAGGCAGAGGCAGTCAGATGCCTGTAAGTTCAAGGCTAGCCTTGTCTACAGAGCAAATTCCATTCAGGACAGCTAGGGCTGTTACACAGATAAACCCTATCTCAAAAAGTCAAAATGAAATACAAAACAAACAAACAAATGCAGACAACAAACAAACCCTCACTAGCCTTTCAATACTCCCATCAAGATTATGTTTTTAACAACAGGGTGTGCCTTTTTCCATCGTTATAAGTAAACACAATGCAACACGAATGTGTGCTCTTGCTGTTAGTCCTTTGCTTCTCACAGGTACTGTGGTTTCCCCCACCTACCTCTTGCAGTACAGGGAGCTAACCCAGCTGGCTTGTCACTGCCCCAGAACCTCTTATGTACCGGTTTTAAACAGTTTTAGAGCTGTGTTTGTTCACCATGTATTTTCTGTGCTGTGTTTGTAAGGATAGAAAAATTTAGCCTAATTCTCCCTAGACTCTGCCCCCGAGCAGTGAGTAGGCAAAAGGTCACATTCTTGACTGTTTATGACAGGGCGGTTTACCGACAGCACCTGTGAGTGAATGAACACAAGAAATGAGCCTTGTCACACTACCCAGAAGCCCTAGCGAAAGCAGACTTCCTGGGCTAAGCACGGGCTTGGATAGTTCAAATTGATTGGTTCGCATTGGATGCTATTAGATGATTGGTTTATGATGCGCGGGCTTTGTTGTAACCCTATAAAAGCTGCCTGCACCCTGTACCCAGAGTTCCCAGTCTCCTACTTCCATGTGGAGTGTGGCTGCGGACCCTAGTGCACTGGAATATAAAAGACCTCATGCTTTTGCATCAAGACCGCTTCTCGTGAGTGATTTGGGGGGGGGGGCGCCTTTCCTGAGTCGGGGCGTGAGGGTCCACGCCTTCCGTTGGTCTTTCATACTGAGGACTGAAGTCAAAATCTTGCAGGTGTTAGGCTGCTGTACCCTCCAGCCCCCTTACTCACTTTTAAGGTTATAAGGTTGAAAATACTGAGTACCAGCATGTATGGAGCTCAAATAGTAAATGATTTATATCCCCCAAATCTCAGACTTAAAAAAAAAAGTTTGGTTTTTCTTTATAATATAATTTAGATACTTTTTTTTTTTTAAAGAAAACAATCATATATGATTTGGCACTTCTGGTTTTTGCTTAGCATTAACATGACACTGTTAATGTTTATTGAGCATTTACTACATGCATCAAATGCATCAAGCAGCTAGAGTCTCCATGCCAGTACATAGTACCATGTTTAGTTATTTTAAATTGTATTGAATGAGTGTCCCTAATTGTTTTCTGTGCTTCAGTGAACAGTCAGCTTGTGGCTAGAAGGAAGTTCCTCGTATGGAATCCTGCTTCAGATTTATTTGGCTTTAAATATGATAGATCTTACCAATCATTTATCCTAAAAATGACTGCCAATTTATATGCCCATACAACATGTATGCAGAAACCCTTGTCACCACAGCTAGAGTTTGACAGTGTGTACTCTTAAATCTTTGCAGATATGGTAGATGCAAAGTGTTTTGCTCATATGCAGTGCTTTTCTTGTACTATTGCTGACATTAAGATGCGTACTGTTTCTTTAGTGCATGCTGTCAGTTTCCCAGCTCACTTCAATCAAATCCTGTCTTACCCTCCCCCTAGTTCATTTGACCCCTCAAGCAGAGAGCTGGGAATGCCCTTAGCCACTAATAGTGCTAATGACTGCTAGGCAGAGTTCCCTGGGATTCCAGCAGAGCCCCTCCTATGCCCTTCTGCCAGAGAATGCTCTGGCTTTGTTCCTGTACTAATTACTTTCCTATTGCTGTGTTAAAACAGCCTGGCCAGTGCAACATAGAATAGAGTGGGTTTGTTTACAGTTCCAGAGGCGTGAATCTGTCTGTCCTAGCAGGAAGGTGTGGCAGTGGCAAGCTGCCCACATACTGGTAGGAGCAGGAAGCTGAGGGTTCACATCTTGAATCAAACAGGGTTCTCATGGCCAAGTGACATATTTCCTCCATCAAGGCCACACCTACACTTCCCAAACTGCACCATCTATTGGGGGCCGAGTGTTCAAATGCCCTAGCTTATGGGAACCTCTCCTTCAAAACACCAGTTTCCTTTCCCGCTTTTCCTACTGTCTTTGCAGTCTTCTTTATCTGCTGCATTAACTTTTCATTGCCGTGACAAAATACCAGAGTTCAGTTTAGAGTAGAGAATGTAGGAAAAATTAGTTTGACTCATGGCTTCAGAAGTTTTATTCCAGGAATTGGCTGGCTCCATTGATTGTCTGCGCCCCTGCCAAGGCTGAAACATCATGGGGGGGGGCATAACCAAGGAAAGTTGTTTACCTTCTGGTGACCAGGAAGCAGAAAGAGAGAGGGAGGGTTCAGGGATAAGCTACACCCTTCAAATACATACTCCCAATGACTGTCCATCTAGGCCCCACTGCCTAGCAGTCCAGACAACAGTGGATTGATGACAACAGTTAGTGCTGCCAGTATCTCATCACTTAGCAGTAATACCTCCAGCCAGAGAGCAAGCCCTCAGTATGGGAGCTTCCAGGAGACATCCCATAGCTAAACTCACCATCTACTCCCTTGATTATGACTAGGAAATTCTTTCCTAATGATGCTGCATGAGTCCCTGTGTCAGGGATTGCTTCTGGAAACCCAGTCAACGATATCCAGAATGTACAACAGGTGTTTAAAAGGTCCAACAATAACCCATGAGTGAAAAAGCTGGGTGTGACAATTCATTTACAACTTCATTACCAATCAGAAGTTTCAGCAATTACACATTATTTTACTTCTAATAATCTTCAGAATTCAAAAGGCCAGTAACATTAGCAATGTTGGTGGCTGTGTACTCGGATATAGGCACTGTATGTAATTTTCATGTAAGTGGCAACTAATTCATGTTGTGTTGACCACCACGTCCCAGCCACTAAGAAAATGTGACAAACAATATTTGAGGTAGTTACATAGAGGACAGGAAAATACTGCTGCAAGAGGAAAGGAGTTTCTAAGGGAAGTTGGTTGGTTGAACAAGTCTTTTGCCAGTTAATGGGGCAGTGTCTGGGCAAGTTCATGTAGTGGATGAATGCATTTGGTCGAGCATATCTGTGACAGGCACTGCAGCTGACACCTGCAAGACTTTCCTCCCTCCTTCTATGCCCCTCACCCCTCCCTCTTTCCTCTCTGTTTCCTCCTCTTAGCCTTCTCCATTCCTTCCTCTATCCCCCTTCACCCCTTCCCTTCCCCCTCCTTTTTAATTTTTCCCTGGATTATAACCTGTGCTGTTATTTCCAGTATTAAAATGTATGATTTAAGATAGGCTTGATGATGCACATCTTTAATCCCAGTGCTCAAGAGGCAGAGACAGGTTGAGGCCCATGTGGTCTACAGAGTAAGTTCGGGACAGCCAGAACTACACAGAGAAACTTTTTTTTTTTTTTAGGTTTATTTTTTCCTTGGGACACTTGATCTTTTAAATTACAATTAAACACTGTGTGGACATTAAGGTTCCCGATAGAGAATTTTCGTGTGCTCCACTGGGAGTGTATTTGAAGGATCTTTCCATGCTGGGACTGGGGGGCTGGCGTCTACCTTTCCCAGAATAAACAAATTCATTAAATGTATTAAAATGAATATAGGATCAAGATTAGAAACCCCAGCCCTTAAGATGATTTTCTGGTCACTGGAGTCAGACAGATCTGTGAACTGCGTCCCTGGAACACAGAAAGTCAGCCTGGTATACTCAGGTCTGTGGACTCTCCTGGAACACAGAAAGTCAGCCTGGTATACTTAGGTCTTGAAGCAGAACTCAGTATGACACATCTAGAACTGTCTCAAATGTGCCAGATTTCAGTATTTGCCGGGTACAGTAAGATGCTCCCACACATTTACACTGAGCTCCAGACAGCACATAGATACATGTACCTAACTCTCTTCCCAGGAAGGCATGGTGTCAAGGGACTTGGGTCTGATTGCGGTGGCAACAGAATGAAGAAAAGACAAGCATACAGAAAAGCTGGGGCCAGGTTGACTTGGCTCTCTACTGGAAATGATTCACAACAGCCCCAAGCTCCATTTACCATACAGAGTTGAACAGTGGCAAGGGTTGTTATTGCAAACAGCTGAACAAGGAGGTGGGTCATGGGCTACAGCTGGGAAAGGAGACAGGTTTAGCTAGTTTTGATGGGAACAGTCTTTGGTGATAAATATCCAGGACAGAAAGCTATGGTGGACATTTTCTGCACATACTGTCAACACCTCTACTTGCACCCTCCCCCAACCCAAAAAAAGAAGACTCTGCTATCTACCTCTGGGTCTGAGGCAAGGCCATTGACATAGTTTAGGATTCGGGGCTTCCTCTGCTCTCCAAAGCACAGTTCTTTAGCTTTGTATTTTCCATGCCTGGACGAAGAAGGAGCTTAGTGTTCTCCAGCTTGGATGTGGCTCATCCCGTGGTTCATCACAGACATTGTACAGGCATAGAAGATGTTGTGGGAGATTTGTTCACACTGTCACTCCAAAAATAAAGTTAAACCTTGATTCAGAGGGTGGACTTTGCATACAGCTGGCCAGGATAAACCATAGAGATTTTTGGTGGACCCAGAGAAGGATAGAGAGACATAGAAAGAAATATGGAGGGTCTTAGAAAGATCCCTGGGAAGGTGAAGAGGAGGGTCAGCTGATCATTTCTTTGTCTCTTTGTGTTTACACCCTAATATCTGATGAACCCAGGCAATTCAATCAGGGCCTTCTGACAGTTATGGGAAC